CTCTTTTTTTTTTTTTTAAAGGCAGAGTCTCACTCTTGTCACCCAGGCTGGAGTGCAATAGTGAGATCTCTGCTCACTGCAACCTCTGTCTTCTAGGTTCAAGTGATTCTTCTGCCTCAACATCAGGAGTTATATGGGAATACAGGCGCCCATCACCATGCCTGGCTAATTTTTTGTGTTTTTAGTACAGACAGCATTTCACCATGTTGGCCAGGCTGGTCTCAAACTCCTGACCTCAGGTGATCCACCCACCTCAGACTCCCAAAATGCTGGGATTACAGGTGTGAGCCACCATGCCCAGCCTCTTTTCTTTCTTTTCTTTCTTTCTTTTTTTGAGACAGGGTCTTTGTTGCTCAGGCTGTAGTGCAGTGGTGTCATCTTGGCTCATTGAAATCTCCACTTCCTGGGCTCAAATGATCCTCCCACCTCAGCTGTCCAAACAGCTGGGAATATAGGTGTGAACCTCCACACCGACTCATTTTAAAATTTTTTTTGTAGAGACAGAGTCTCGCCATGTTGCCCAGGCTGATCTCAAACTCCTGGACTCAAGTGACCACCTATGTCAGCCCAGCAAAGTGCTGGGATTACAGGCATGGGCCACCACTCCCAGCCATTCATCATTTTTAGCCAGCCTTTGCGAAGTGCCTATTCTGTATCGTATGATCGTGTTATCTAGCCCTGTAAGGTTGGTGGCATTGTCACCATTTTATATGGAAGAAAAAGTGAAGAGATGCTCAGTAACTTATGGAAGGTTAAACAATCAGTACGCGCTAGGTGCGGTGGCTCATGCCTGTAATCCTAGCACTTTGGGAGGCTGAGGCGGGCAGATCACCTGAGGTCAGGAGTTCAAGACCAGCCTGACCAATATGGTGAAATCCCATCTTTAAAAAAAAAAAAAAAAAAAAAAATCAGTATGAAGCTGAGGTAGGATCTGAGCCTTCTAAGACAGTTAACCTAAGGAGCATGGCCTATGAAACTTTAAAAACCTTGCTTAGGCCGTAGGCCAGGTGTGGTGGCTCGTGCCTGTAATCCCAGCACTTTAGGAGGCCAAGGCAGACAGATCACCTTAGGTCAGGAGTTCAGACCAGCCTGGCTAACAGGCTACTAAAAATACAAAATATTAGCCGAATGTGGTGGCACATCCCAGCTACTTGGGAGGCTGAGGCAGGAGAATCGCTTGAACCTGGCAGGCGGAGGTTGTAGTGAGCTGAGCTTGCACCATGGCACTCCAGCTTGGGCAACAAGAACAAAATTCTGTCTCCAAAAAAAAAAAACAAAAAAAAAAAACCTTCCAGGCTCAAGCAGTCCTCCTGCCTCAGCCTCATGAAGAGCCGAGACTACAGGCACATCCTACCACACTAGGCTAATTTATTTTTAGTAGATGAAGTCTTGCTATCTTGCCTAGGCTGGTCTTGAACTCCTGGGCTCAAGTGATCCTCCTGCCTTGGCCTCCCAAAGTGCTGAGATTATAGGCATGAGCCACCACATCCACTTATTTTTGTATATTCTTGATTTTTTGTCCCATGCTGTTTGCTATTCCTGATTAACCAGAATCATTTTAAAAGTGGTGGGTCAGAGTTCTCAGTAAAAGGTGATAGTCGGAATATATGTGTTTATCTGCACTCCACCCAAACTTCACCAAAGTGATAAGAAGGGACCTAAGAGGAGTAAACCCTCAAGTACAAAGAGGACAGGACAGGAAATGACAGCAGGGAGAGCTGGTGATGACATTGGGTGAGTAAAGGCAGGTGGGCCAATGGCAACTGAGCAGACTGGGAAAGCTAAGTGCCTGTGAAGGGCAAGAGCCAAAAACGGACACCCCAGAACCCAAAATCCACTAAACACATGGAGATACCAGCTGTCTTTGAACGCACAAGCGTGACTAGGGCTAGAGACAAGAGAATTGGTTGATGGCCTGTGTGAGAATTTAAACCCTGTGAGAAGCCCTTTCCCATAGAGACAGAAGTCGCGTTATCCCTAGAGAGCATGCCAGAGGGTTTCTAGGCTCAAAGATGTGAGACCAAGCTGGAGACCGGGCACTGTACCAAAAATGAGGGTTTTGTAATAGTCTCCATCGGTGAGAGTCTCCCCAGCTGCTGCTCCCAGCTTGGCTGTCTCTTGGTTTGGTCTGTCGTTTGATGTGCATCCTCCGATAGCTTCCTAAAAGGGAACATGGGCTCCTAGAACCATTTGGCTCCTCTAACACTGACAGCCAGACTTACGGCTTCCTAGGCCAGGGGCTGGAGACTTCTTTTTCTGAAGAAACTGACCAGTCCAGGAGAAAAATCCTCCAGATACTGAAATTTGGGGGTTTTCCCAACAAAATAGCAGCCCCTGCAAGCTTGTTCTTCACTAAAGCCCACATGGCGGCAACTTCTCCCCATCTCCTCTCCACTTCCCAAAACACAGGACTTTGGGCAGCATTTTAATGCCTCACGGAATATTTCAGGAAAATTTATAAGGAAAAGAAACAAACATAGCATACTGAATTAAAGTAGCGAACAGAAGAAACTTAAAGAATCATTGGTTAGTGACATGCACATAGAAAACCAAGCAAATGGGAAAAAATGCAGTTACTAACTCCAAGGAAACCCAAAAGGTGTATAAGAAAAAGTTACTTACAGCCTGTGCGCTTGACTTTGAGGGCATAGCAAGGTGCCTGTGGATACTGACTTGATCAGCACACCTCAAGAGAATTCGTCCTGAATGAGGACAGACCATGACACCTTGGGGGCGGGGCCCAGTGTCCTGCAGAAGGTAGGCAGGCATATTTGTCAAGAGATTATGAACTGTGGGGAAGCTTATCTCTTCCTTTATTTCCTAGCTTAGGTAATGGAAGCACTGGCCACCTTTCTGGCTTCCCTGTGTCTGAGAAAATTCTTGTGGAGGAGATGGTAAGACACAGATAATTACAGTACAATAGGTATATAAACAAAGGAGCAGCTGAGAGATAAGGAAACCTTCCTGGGGCAAAACCCCATCTTTGAGTTCCTAGTACTTAACACATTCTCAGTGCTGAGTAAATGTGTGATTGATCAAATGACTGGAACCCCTTGAGGAAAGTGTGGTGTATCAACCTTTAAGTAGAGAGGAAAACAGAAAGGATTGTTGGGTCCTGTGGCAAGGAAGAAAAGGCTGATGGAACTGAGAGGCATCCTAGGGGACTTAATTGTTAAGGGATTCCTCCACATTTGACTTTTTTTTTTTTTTTTTTTGGACACACTCCCTCCCTTTTGCCCTTTTTTTTTTTTTTTGGGTTTTTCTTGGTTCACTGCAGCCTCTGCCTCCCAGGTTCGAGTGATTGTGCTGCCTCAGCCTCCCGAGTAGCTGGGATTACAGGCGCATGCCACCATACCCAGCTAATTTTTGTATTTTTAGTAGAGACAGGGTTTCACCATGTTGGCCAGACTGCTCCTTGAACTTCTGACCCCGTGATCCACCTGCCTTGGCCTCTCAAAGTGCTGGGATTACAGGCCTGAGCCACTGTGCTCGGCCCTCAGTATTTGACTTTGAAGTTTAATAGCCTGAATGCCTAAAATACTCATGGCCTGTGGAGCTATTAATCATTTTCATTTCCTGTCCTTTTGGAAAGGAAAGTGTTCAAAAAAAAGTTGAGAGTAATTTGTATTTAAAGTAAAGAGAAACTAAGGAGGAACCTTACTTCCTTAAAGAACCTTTTTTGCTAGGCAGGCGACCATAGAGAAAGACTTCTCCAGAGCCTAGGGTCCCTGGAAATTTAAACTAACCACTCAAAACTAACACCTCACACCTGAATGGACTTGGAAGACAGACAGCCCTGGGTTAGAATTCTTGTTCCATCACTGTCTGGTAAGGTGACCTTCAGCAAGTGACTAGACCTCTGTATACCCCAGTTTCCTCATCTGAATTATCTAGGAGGTAATAGTACCCACTTTCCCGGGTGTTGTGAGACTTACAGGTGACAGACATAGAGCAGGGGCACAGGCTGGTGACACACAGGCCCGTGACACACAGGCCCGAACTAGCCATGTGTTTTGTTTGGCTCACAGTGTTTGTTTGTATTGAATTTGTTGCCAGCATTTAAAAATCAGAAATTTTCACCTAAAAAGTCTGACTGTCACCTTCTCTATAAAAGTACAATTAGGCAACATTGAACTTCATTCCTTTATTAGCAGTTGGCTAGGCTATAGCCATTTCGGAGGGTCTCACCTTCCCCTTTCACCATGGACACCCGCTTCCCGCTGTGTACCCTACAGCCTGCTTCACACTGGTGTGTCATTTGCCTAACCCTTGAAAGTAAGTCCATGCATTGGACCTGTTGCCCACTGAGTGGTTTCCATCATCTTGAGTCCTGGGGCTGGGAGGAGGAGACTTTCCAGAAGAAAGATTACCATGACTTACAGCTTTGGCTCT